GTGGGGGGTATCGCTGCTCTCCCTGCTCTCATCCATGCTAGGCTGCATGGATGCACAGGGAGTTCTTGCCCAGAACGGAACCATACCGCCAATCCAAACTGTATGCTAATTGTCAATTATCTTTGACGATAGTGGTCCTGACAGAAATATATTTTTACTATGTTATATTATTTGTGATAAACTGGCCATCCGTTCGAGTTGTATTCCTGTCTTCGACCTGATACACTGGAATAGGCCCCATCCTTTATATTATATTATATTATATGTAATTAAGTGTTACTTGCTGTTTCTTTGTAATTATTTGTGAAATTTACTAGTGATTTCTGAGTGAAATCCTACACTTTTTTTTAGTGCATGAGGTACACATACTGTGACAGAATGAAAACTAAATCAGTAAGTGTTGTATATAAGTGATGTTCTTCTCTCTGTACAGTTACAAATATGGAGGGTGCCATTAAAACAGTTGTTATGCAGTTCCTGTCTTCAGCACGAGGAAAAGAGAGCCTGGGTGGGAAGAGCTTCCAAAAGTTAGTCCAGAGTCAGCTGGGAAGCATCCTGAGCGTAAGCAGAGTTCCTACATATGTCCGGATGTTTTTAACAAATCTCTCATTTTACTCCATTTAGTTGACACATAACATGTCCGTGGATTACAAGATAAAGATTTTAGGTTCAGTGTATACATGTAGAAGTGAATATGTTTGTTAAATAATTGTTTAATCACCCTTTTGCCTTCATTAGTTTATTTTAGGTGGTCCTGTCATGTGACAATTAAATTAAAATTAAAAGTATAAATATTTCATAATCTCTCAATTAATATGAGGTCATAAGTGCTGCATGCATGATAATTATAAAAGAATTAGCTAAATTAATTTTAAAGTCGTTTTAGATGAAGTATAGCATGTCGCCCTACAGAACAAAAAAATGTCAAGACTGCGCTTCATTGGCTGTCTATATTCCAAGAACTAAGCTTGATTGGGCAAATGCTAAATAGTTGAGGATTTCACACTCTCTCTGTCTCTCTCAGGACACTGACAGTTCTTCAGCAGTGAAGGACATGATGAAAGGCCTGGATGACAACCAGGACGGGAAAGTCAGTTTCCAGGAGTACCTGACGCTGGTGGGCTACCTGGCCAACTCACTGAGTGAGCAGAAAGCACGGAGCACTCCAGCCAGTGAACAATAAGAAGCCCAAAAGCATTGATGACACTTGGGTTGATGACACTGACAATCATTTGTAATGCTGGAGTCTTGCACCAGTAATCATGGTAAATAAGAGAGACTGGGGCTAGTTGTCACATTTTTTACTTACTAAACTGTTTTCAACGTGGCTTGCTTTATCAAAAAAATATCAAACCATTGTTTTGGCCAAAACACACTGTATTAATAAATTGTGTAAAAATTACCGCAGCTTAACATACATATCAAAACACAACTCTTTAGCCCTTGTGACTTCCTGTTGTAACAACTAGCCAAGGTCTTCAGTGCAATCAAAAATCTGCAATTAAATCTGCAATGATCTGAAAACACACTTAAAGTCTCTGATATTGCAATGTACTCGCATTTATGAAATTATAAAACAATGTCTGACCTGTGGCCATGTGCAAGTGCTAAATCAAGTAACTTTTTGTTGCATACGTTTTTTTTTTTGTGTTTTTTTTTGCTTTCCATGTAAACAGGGTTTTATTTCAAGGCTCCTGTGTTTTCATATATGATTTAATTGTTTTTACTGGGAACAAAATATGCTTGATTAGTGCTTAAAACAAGGCATAACTGATGAATGCAAGCCATCAAATTTACTAAAAAATAGAGGCAATGCCAATGTTGTATACACATCAGATTTGTCCATTTAAAAAAGTGAAATTTTACACTACTGGAGAATTGTTTTTGTATAACCTTTCAATTAAAATATGGAAATAATTACAAAATTGTAATTTTAGTCATCCTTTAACTGTCAGACATGGAATAAAAGCTAAAGATCATGGTACTCTGGGTACAGCCTGTGCCCTAGCATGAATACATATTTTTATGTGTACACATTTTGTGTGTTTGATAGTGTCCTTTGAATTTGGCCATTAGTGTGTGTCTGTGTGTCCGTGTGTGTGTGTGTGTGTGTGTGTGTGTGTGTGTGTGTTTTCAGTCCCAAGCCTTGGCTGGCATATGTGTATGGACACCATTTGCTTAATGATGAATTAACACCTGTGCAGCAGTATCAGGTGTGACAGGACCACTTGTAGTCAGATGCTCACTCAACACACACACACACACACACACACACACGCCTGAGCACCTATCAGCACCTCTAAAGACCCTTGGGTTGTAAGTAGCTTTTTGTTTATTCCATGTAACCTTGTTTGGCCTGTAACATTATCAGTCCTCAGGCACCTGACCCTATTTCACCTTATGGCTTATGTGCCATTATATTAATAATTCTAAAAAAGTGCATCACGAAATTAACTACAGTTATATAGACTTATATACTTACATATATAAATGTGTCTGATAGATAACTGCATAACTTACATAATATATTATAGACGTTTAAATTTTGAGCTTGACTGATTTTCAGTACAGCGATGTTTGTGTCTAAGTCATCAATTACAGCAGATAAATCATTTAGTTCAGGGTGCTGAACTATCATGTCTCTAAAAGTTTAATGTGACATGCGCCAGTACATATAACTAACCTTTGGGATCAAACATATCTATTTACCCAAAAGCTCTTCTTTCAGGTAAGTCCAGGTTTTCAGAGTGTTTATATACATTAATGTTTTGTATCATTAGATAAGCATGAAAACATGACTGGTATTTAGTGACACAACAAAGTCCATTACATGTTAGCTTTTTCGCATTTGGCTCCCAAACTCTGGAATAGCCTTCCTGATAACGTTCGGGGTTCAGACACACTCTCTCTGTTTAAATCTAGATTAAAGACACATCTCTTTGGCCAAGCATTCAAATAATGCATCTCATAATCTTGTACTGCAGTTATATCTGATCAAATGCACATTATTATTCTTTAGCTTGGGTTAAACAAATCAATTTTGCTTGGTTGGAACAGCAGCTACGCTAATTATGTCTCTATTTGTTTCTCTGTTTTTTGCTACGGGATTGACATCCCGTGGTAACTAGGATTTACACAAGCTTCAGTCTGGATCCAGAACTCCTGAGCAGAAATGATGCCAACCCTTCAGAGGACCTCAGATGATGCCAACCCTGAAACAACATACAGAACTACCACATTTTGCTATAAGTTTGATTGCATCATATAATAATTGCTGTTAATAGTGTTCATCGTCTGTTTTATTACGTCTTAAATGGATTTTTCCGTACATTTCTGCCATATGTACATTAACTGACAGTCACCACTGATAAGCTACCACTAAATATTGTAGAAACTTAATTTGCTGTAAAGTTGCTTTGCAATGATTTGTATCGTGAAAAGTGCTGTACAAATAAACTTGACTTGACTTGATTTGATATGTACGGCCAATCACAATGCACCGGGTCAGCTGGCCAATCAGAGCAGACTGTGCTTGTCAAAGGAGGAGGCTTTGTTGAAAACGACGCATTTGAGAGAGGCGGGGCATAGATTACCTACAATAATGTACAGTATTTGTAATATTATGTGTTTTTTTAACATTAAAGCATGTCAACATATTCTGTTACACCAAATACAACAAATAATGATCTTTAAAATAGCATCGTATGACCCCTTTTTAAAGAAAATTGCCACAAATTGAAAATTGATTAATTAAAAGCTTATTATGATACATGTAGTCACATGGATGTATATTCATGATTCGTGAACTGAGTGTTGATCAATAAAACAAAACATTGAGTATGTGGCTTGTTTTCATTTGCTCAAGTTACCGTCTAATGCAGAGAACTTTCTCTCTTTCAATTACAACAATCAACATCACATTTACTCCTTTATATAAGACTTCCTCGTATTTTTTCTTACATTGTGAATGTGTAAACAGAGGACAAGAGGTGGGAAATAGCTAGGTAGAGACAAATGAAGGATGGATGGAGCAAGGGGGGGGAGGAGGACCAAGTAGGTATATAAGATGCTGCCCATCGCCTCCCGTCTTCACCAACATTCATCTCTCCTCAAGGAACAGAAGAGCAACAATCATCTAACAACAAGGTAAGGGAAAGAAAAGATGGATAGAAGAACAGATTGTAATTGTGAATTTTAGAGTTATATGCTAGATGGCTTTCATGCTGCCTGATGTTTCTAATTAGCTTTTGGACCAGACTGCTAAATAAAGACCTGGGCATCTTTTGCACAGACAGAACATCACATCATATGCTAAAGAAAAGTTTGATGCATCGAGCTGCTATTGGATAAAAATTTTTTAACATGGCTCTCCACCTCAAGTTTTGTGTGGCTTGTGGCTCATCTCTATAATGTATCTGAGGAGGCTTTTCTTCTCCTCTGAAGTTATTTTTGCCAACACAACCCAATATGTTTATCAGTTCATCCATCAGGACAGGGCTAATCTCAAACCTAGGGCAGCGTTTGGTTAAATATATGTGTGTGTGTAGTGAGTTGTGGGCTCAGATTACAACTTCCTCCGCAGGTTCAGAGTGTTTTCTCCAGTTTAGGATTTCACCCTTATCAGGCAAGTCACATTTCCCTTCTGTAGTTAAGTTAAGCCCCTCGTAGGATGATCTGGAGAGGGAAGGAGGGGGTCAAAGCATGTTATGCTGAGAATATATAACTGCTTCTTTTGAAATGTTTTTACTGTTGTGGTCTGGAGAAAATAAGTCTGCTTTGTGCTTTTAAATATTTAAAATGAGACAGAAATACTAAAGAAAACCTTTTGTGCATTCTTGAGTGCATTTATAAGTCTGAATACAGTCACTCACTACAGTGACCAATAAATCTTTCTTTCCAGAATGTCTAATGTTCTAAACTCAGAGAATGCCTCCACTCTGGAGAACGCCATGCAGCTGATGATCCAGACGTTCCATAAGTACTCTGGAAATGAGGGTGACAAATATACTCTTAGCAGGCAGGAACTTAAAGAGATGCTAACGCAGGAGCTGGGCAACTATCTTGGGGTAAGGGGAAAACGGAGTTTTGATTTCTTTGTGAAAGTCAGATGTTTCTGATTAACTTTATCTGCACCTCTCTTGCTCCACAGAACGCACAGGATAAGGATGCGGTAGATAAAGTTATGGGAGACCTGGATTCAAACCACGATGGTGAGGTAGACTTCACAGAGTTCGTCATCCTCGTTGGTGCCCTCACTGTCGCCTGCAACGACTTCTTCCTCGAGTATCACGAAAAGGATGGAAAGAAGGTTGAAAAGAAAGAGTAGAGCTGCATTTCTCTGAACAAAAGCCAACACATGACCAGAGAATGATGATGAGGGGGAAATGAGGGGAGAAGGGGAATATGTGTATGTGTGTATGAATCTTCCTTAGGCTACTGATACTAAAAAAGGTTTCACATCATCTCTGCATCCACATCCTGCATCCATGCAATCCTGGGTACACAAAATGTTCCATGAGGCACAACATGTTTCCGTCCCCTGACCCTATTAGAAATGAAAGCATTAGGAATGCGATTTTGACATGGTCTTTGTTGAATATGTGAATATGTGTTTCTTCCTTTCTTTTGTTTATTAACAATTGGAGTTATAACTCTCCATATAACAATAAACTGCAGATTTAAAAGAAATAAATGAGGCTGGTGTCCTTTTTTCGCAGCAGATGGAAGTGCAATCTCGTCAACAAAATTAGGCTACTGATGATCATAGTTTGTTAACGAACTGTATTTCGTCACTAATGAAACATTACAATTAAAAGATATTGTTGACGAAAATGGAAAAAAAGATATTAACACGTATGTTTTTTTAACCGTGTCACAATCACGTTACTTCTGTTTGTCGCTTACGTAAACTAACAGAACTTTCTGTTTGCGCGCCAGATTTTGAATGAATACTTACTTACATTACAGGCAGTTTTCACATAAAGCAGTCGACTGAATTCAGAAGACTTGGAATAACGCACACGAATCATATGGACTACATCTACGGTAAGCTACTTGAGAAGTTAAAATCACCTTGCATCTTCTAGATGATTATTCTGGGTTGGAGAAAAATAAGGGGAGTAGATTTTTATTTTGGACCATCTGTTCCATTATTTTTTTCTCCCACAAAGCATTATTACTTACTACATATTTTATATTGTATATTTTGGGATATTGTAAGAGCCATATTTGTAGGCCTGTACATAAAATGTTTTCTGTTGCACTTTCTCTGAACTAACATGATATTTTACCCACTAAAATTAGATGCCATTTAGAGTAAAACTGACTAAAATTAATGAATATGAAATAACACAATACTGAATCAATTTAAAGAATATTTTCGTCACAAGACAAAAATGACAAACGAAATACTGTAGAAAAATGAACACTGATAGTAAGAGTCTTGACCGTTAGAGGCCAGTATTGAATCAAAGCTGAGGTTAGACAGGAAAGGTCTCCGGTATTTGTCTAGAAGGGCAACTCGATTCTTCATGTTTGCAGACAGTCGCTTGCTCAATGTAGGAAAGACTGCATGATCATGCTCATTTATTATTCAATAAAATTATATCTTCTTGCATTCTACATGAAGCATTCACTATTTTCGTCACCAGGGATGTAGGAACATACAAAAGCAAGGTCCTGTTTTATGTAGCATAAACTGAAGGTCACATTAATATAATATGTGGACGTGCATTTCCTTTCTCTAAGCTGCTCTCATGAAAATTTGGCTTGAAGAGCTTTCATAAAGGAGGATGCGCAGCCAACTTGAGATAAGACATGAATTTATTATGTTGTCAGGAGGTGGCAGTGCCAACGGATGTGAGTTTAGAGACTGGTGAACAAGTCCTTGGGCAGCAGAGCAACACAAAAGCCAAGTCCTCTTGCC